GGGACCGAAGACACACGCATTCCAGACCCCTCCAAATACCAATCGATGATAGGATCACTTATGTACCTGACTACTGGCACAAGACCCGATCTAGCGTATACCATTTCTTTCCTCTCACAATTTTCTGCTTGCCCTACCGAACCACACCTCAAGGCCGCTAAACACGTCCTTCGATATGTTAACGGAAGAAAACACATTGGACTCTTCTACCCTTACACCGCGACAAACGCGATCGATACCTACGTTGACGCTGACTTCGCCGCTTGCCTCGATACCCGCCGTTCTTTTTCGGGATACATTGTACTTCTCAACGGTGCATGCATCTCATGGCGCTCGAAGAAGCAAACCTCGGTCGCACTATCAACAACCGAAGCAGAATACGTCGCAATGTCACTTGCCGCAAGACAAATCCAATGGTTCCGAAAGGGTCTCAAAGATATGCGTCTCGACTTACCGATCGCTTTACATGCAGATAATACCGGCGCAAATTTTCTCGCGAGAAACCATCAGCTAAACGACCCAACGAAACACATCGATATACACTACCACAAAATACGGGAAGAAATCGATAATGACTCGTTCACGCTCCTGAAGGTTGCCTCCTCCGATAACCTTGCCGACATCTGCACCAAAATCTTAGCGAAACCGGCACACGAACGGTTAATGGGACTTTTGGGCTGTAGATAATGAGGGGAAGTGTTGAATTTTCTAATTCGTTTCATATGTATATTCTTCATGATAATACCGTATATTTCTCTACTTAGTATTATTTCTAGTTCACGGACATTACTACAGCGGAGTATGTATTACGTATATTTCATTGATATTTCATGATACGATTAGGGGATTATGGCGTGCTTTTCTTATCTGGTGTTTGGGTTTATTTCTTACATTTTATGCATCATCATGCACGGTTATCGTTCATTTGATTTACAATTATGTTCTAATTATCCGTTCACACCACCTTAGATTTACGCATGTTTTATGGGATTTCCTTGGCAGTTCTTTAGGGTCAAACATGTTCGCACTTATGGTTTTCCTACTTATGCTACGGTCAAACACGTCGATACTTATGTTTTTCCTTACATTTCCTCTTAGTTACGCGAAGGATGCGCACCTGTATAAATAGGAGTTACCACCCATCTCGCTTAAGAGAATTAAGGACAGGAACTACTACCAATCTACATTCATGCAAAATTCCTCCTCGTTTAGCGTGCCCGCAGTATACTCTTACTACTGTATCGTATTTTCGTACAAAGTTATTAAGATAGTGCCGTACCCACACATTTGAACAGGATTTGGCCCAACTGCCATCTGACTATTCTGTCTATTGTGAGGACTACTACTTCCTTCTCCAATATTCTTGCTCTTATTATTGTAAAGTCTCATCTTCTTTACAGCTTAGAAATAAGAAACAGGAAACATTCTAGAATCCTTAATGGAATTCTTGGTTGTATGGTGCCTTGCGTTCAAAAGGGACACCATGGGAGGTGCAACACGTAACACTCAACCCTCTAAGAAAATTGTACTATACCCTAAACACTAAACTTTTAAATTGTCCCATGTTTTATTTCATATATTATACTTATAGGTTTGAATATTTAATATAGTCTTCAACATATTAAATTTATATATATACCTCCTGAAATTAACTACCTTATTTTTTCACAGATTATGATGTTATATATCATACTAGTAGATATTTTCATACTATTATACCTAATTCTAAATTCTTATAAAACCTTAAAAAGATAAACTTAGTTCATATTTAGTAAAGACAAACGTATAGTTCTGGACGTCTTAAGTGGACACCTCAGAATTTGTGACAGGGGACGGCTTGGCAAATCAAAAAACGTATGTATGTTCAATTCCCAGCAAGGTTAGAGTTTTTTATTCATTGTCAAGCCACATGAGGTGTCAGGCAGGGTAATTTTAGTAAAATGATAACATACTATTGGCAGAAAAGAAGTGATTGTAAATCAAAAGAATATAAATGTTGATAAATTGATAACATTCATGAATCTACTGATTTTTTAACTTTTCTTCATGTTTATTTTAAGGCTATTCTATTACTAAAATTAGTCCTCTGTGATTCAAAAATGCCAGAAAAACGAAAGCGTGGCAGGCCACAAGTTACAAATCCGCTATCTGCATTGACAGTTCGGACCCGAGCATATCGTGAGAGACAGTGACAGGTATAATCAATTAAACATCTTCAAAAGCTATCTGAATCTTCTATAATTGTAAACTAAGAGAATCTAAGTAGCAGTCTCAGGTCCCGTCAGTTGTTCCTGCCTCAAACACAGTTGATAGGTCCATTAGAGTCAATCCGAGTACGAAGAGATCACGTGAATGGCGTGCATGACCCTGTACCAGAAAACTCGCTGAAGCTCAATCTATTATTGAAGTACCAGTGGATGAAATTATTCCACAAATGATAGCAGATATCCCTCCACCAGCAATGTCCCTACCAGGAGACCCACCAGAAGACCAGTCAGAAGACCTTCATGAAGACCCAACAGCTCTTGATAACTACTCAGTTTTGTTTGCGCAAACACTTCAGCAGTGGCCACGACGTGTGCATTCCTATTATAATGCTTCATCTGAACATTTAGAGGTCTTGAAAACATCACTTCAAGCAATCAAGAAGGTTCTATTTCCTCGTTCTTCTATCAAAAGAAAACCTCTTAATAGTTCCTATTTTCAACAACACTATCATGTGTTTTGCTTTTTAAAACTTCAAGTATTTCAAGAAAAGCAAGCGCTTTTGCGGCCAGAGATCAATATTCTCCGATCAAGAAAGACACTTGTGCAACAGCTGGCTTCTGGTAGCCAGTCAGGTGGTCGAAGCATAAGAAGATGTATGCGGGATAAGGTATCCTGGGTAAAATACTGGAGAATTGCAGGTCGGAAGCAAGGTCAGTACTCTAAGGTTGCCTGCATGTTGAATGATTAGAGTATTTTGTTAGCTGTACGGGAATATATTTCCGAAGCAGGCCAGAGGATGTTATTCCTTGATTAGTGTTATTCTCTTGACTACTCTACTATATATGTCAAACCCTACTACAGTTATTAGATACATACTAACAGTTAAAGATGTTGACTCTTATAAGATGGCTCACGTGATCAACCAAGCCTGGGTGGAGGCAGAGGACTTGGCAATTGGTCCTTTCAGAGCCAGAGGTGTCCGACAAATTCAGAAAGCAATTAGCAGTCGAACTGGTCGTTGGTGGTTATTAAAACTTGGCTATAAGTGGAAAGAGGCTAGAAAAGGTATTTACAAAGATGGGCAGGAACGGAGTGATGTTATTGCATATCGTAACGATGTGTTCTTTCCTACTTTACGGTCACTTTCATCACCCCTCATGGTTTGGGATAACCAGTTTGAGCCCCAGCCAACTATACAAGTTCTCAATGGAGATGAGAAGGCAGTTATTATGGTTACCCATGATGAATGCACCTTTAACGCAAATGATGGTCGACGCTTTATCTGGACACATGTAGAGCATAACCCAATTCGGAAAAAGGGTATTGGGCCAGGTTTACATGTCTCTGAGCTTGTTACTCCAATTGGGAGACTTGGTTGTGGTACCGTATGTGAAATTCTGAAGTGTGGAGGCGATATCTGGTGGGATGGAGCAAAGCTCCTTGCTCAAATAAAAAGTAAGACTATTCCAGCCTTCGAGGCAGAGTTTCCAGGCTGTCAGGATTTGTTCATGTTTGACAATGCCAAGAGTCATGCTAAGTATGCTGATGATGCCTTAAGGGTATCAAAGATGAATTTGGAGGATGGAGGAAAAAATGCTAAGCCAATGCGGCAGACATTTGTTGTTGATTTAGAACACTCAAATGGTGGTTGGTATCAATCTATGGTTACTGCAAGTGGAGTACCAAAAGTTTTAAAAACAGTGTTAACTGAATGTGGCTTATGGCCTGTCAGTGGACCACGATTTCTCACCCAATGCACTATTAAGACATCTTTAGGTAAGTCTAAACCTAACTCTCCATGTCTCAAAGGTGGTTCTTGCTGTGCTCGTGCATTGCTGGCATCCCAGCCAGACTTTCAAGCTGAGAAGGGTGAGCTTCACGAGGCTATTGAGGCAGCAGGACATCTTGTACTTTTTTATCCACCATTTCACTGCGAGTTAAACTTTATTGAGTACTTTTGGGGTGCTGCAAAGCACTATACTCGCTAGCACTGTGAGTATACCTTTACCTCACTACAGCGATTAGTTCCAGAGGCAATGGCTCAAATTCCTAATCAATTGATTTGGAAGTTCTCAAATAGGGTTCAAAGAATTATACAGGCCTATGAGACTGGTGCTATATATGGAGATGAAATGTATAAATCTATTGTTTTAACTAAGTACAAGTCACATCGTCATGTTTCTGGAACATAATGTATGCTATGATACTATTATGATGTATTGATATTTTATATAATAATATGTGGCTTGAACATATTAAAAATAACTATGTTGAGTCCAGGACTTGAACATGTGTTCACTTTTTGAATTTGTGGCTGAATGCCAAGCCGTCCCCCGTCACAAATTCTGAGGTGTACACTTAAGACGTCCAGAACCATACATTGCCAGGTGGTGGAGAGCCCCGCGACTCTGGGGGGGGCTGTGTAGGAAAGGGTGGGGGACGGGGGCCCGGCGGGTTTGTGTAGAAGTAGGTGAGGGTGAAGCACGGGGGCCTAGGGGGGCGGTGTAGGAGTAGGAGGGGGTGGGGAAGGGGTGACCGGGTGGGGTTATGAATATGTAGGAGGGGGTGGAGCAGTTGGGGCTCCTATGATTATTCATTGTATTTTTTATTTCCTGTATTCTACTCTTGTAGAATTATTAAATGTATGATACACCCACTTATCGGATGTCTTGGTGATCTGAGACCATTTTCCTGGGGGAGTCTCCACAGGTGGGTTGCCTGAGCACAACCCGTATTGGCAACACCAACGTGCTTCCTTTCCCCAAAGTGCCCTGCAACAAATATTGTTTCCCGACCGCATCGCCCACAGCTCAACCTGAATATTCCTACCACGGAAATAAAAAAATTAAGAATGTGGACCATCAGCCTAGTTACTTGAGGGCTACTCGGAAAAGCATTCCTTTTTCTGTTCAAAGGATTCTGTTGTCTAGCGATTTATTTCTCTTATGCGCCGTGTTGTTTTCTCCAATATCTCCTACTCTCTTAGTATGCGCACGGCCGGCCCACCTGAGGAGACTCTGATCATTTTTCCAGTGACCTGTTTATCTGTATCCGGGCCGGGCAACCGATACGCCATCATCCCCTCGGAAGGCGATTCCATGAAAAACCATTCTTTGTCACGCTTGTAAGTATAGCACCGGTATTTCCTGCGGCCAGTGTCCCCGAAACTCATGGTTATCTTAAATCACTGCGCAGACCGCACGTTTTCTATCGCAGTCCCTGGGGCCATCTTGCCGATACCAAATTAAGAGGGCTCCCGCATTCTTACACTTTCTTTTACAGCCACAGAATGGGTTCAACGAAGGGCTGAAAGTTGGCATTACTTGTACACTGTCGCTCGATTACGACAACACGCAACTGGCCTATGGTTCCACGTTTTTCCCCCATCCTACCCATGGACTGTACTCAGCTCCACCGGTGCCATTTCGATGGGAAATTCTCGCGGGTTCTTTCCCACCGCACGTATGTACCCCGATGTAAGCTTGGCCGATTTTACAAAGGTCGTGGCTTGGCTATTCATATGGGGTTGGGGTGTGGTGTCTCTTTTCGCAAAAACTTTGGATTAAGTCAAGGTCAGGTGGGCGCCCCGACTTGAAGGTAGGGTCGCCATTTACTCGTATTGAGAAATTAAGCAGGCAAGTGGCTAAGGGCAATTGCGGGGTCGGGTAAATATCCCACGCGGCGGTCCGTGTCCCGGTATCAATATCATTTGATAGGTTTAACTTTCTGTTTCCAGGAACTGCGCCTTTTGGGGGTTTCAGGAATACATAGCTTTTGCACGATACGGGAAAATGATTCTGTGTGGATGCTGTTGTCGTCTCATCCATCCCGTGGCCTAATGAGGCATGTGCAACGTGCGAGCCACCGCCAAGATCGCGACAGGGCCCAACCAACTGCCCGTAACTCAACCGGGCAGGCTTACGGGTAGTTTGCATTTCCCGGGCTCTTCTCAGCATGTCCTATGATACTTCCATAAGACTTCTGAAGAGTGAATTTCGCCCTTGTCCCTATCTCGAGACAGCACCCTATCCCGGGCCCTTACCCCAAATCTTTATCCTTTTCTGGGGTTGAAGGGTCCTAGCCAGGAGCACACCGGTAGCCCAGAGCCGCCTCAAAAGTGGAGAATTCCTCCTCGCTACGTCCAGGGCTGGGCGTTCGGTTGCCCAGTCGGTGTGTTTGTCGTATTATTTGCCAGTTTCGGGGCTTGTGAAACGATTCTGAACTACATTTACCATTGGCGACAAATAGGCTACCTTCCCGTCTTGAGATACCGGCGCCCTAGATACATCTTAATACTTTCATGCCCGAACATGGAGACCAGCCCGACAGTGAGCCAAACACTTGATGGATTCGTGGGTTTCCCTTCCCTTCATTGTCCGCAATTCTGGAGATGAGAAGTATTCGCCTGATAATTCTCCCAGGAACATCCCAGCAAGTATCAGTGGGGATTTCAGCAGGAATTGGGGAGATCACAAGCTTCTGGTAGTAACTTCGGAAAACAAGATCAAGGGCGGGAGTTTAGAGCTGGAGGGCATGGTATTATTAATTTTCCCGAGAGCTTTCCGGCAAACAACTAACGAGCTGTCGTGGTTGGAAGAAGCATCTACGCTTCATCGCAGACTTCCCGGCGGTAGAAAGTGCAATTACACGGGCCGTGAAAAGCTCATCAAGTCGTTAAAGAGGATTGCCGACCGTGGCGATCACCACCGCACCGCACTTCAAGGACCAAGCGACCGCGAGTGTATGTTCATCGCTTCGTGATATGAAGGTTCTTCTAACATTTCACAGAAACCCCGGATTGCCCTCAGATACTCTTATTAGTGAGAGAGCGAGGGCGACAGTCATGTTTTCTGAGGACAAGGGAGTGGAATATTAAATTTAGGGAAGGCTTCTGGGTCATTGCGCGAAATGTTCAAATTCGTCTCGCCAGAGCTGAGACGGATGAAGAGGGATTCAGATTGAGTGTGAAGAGGTCGCTCGAAGGTCCAAACAGTAGTGATTGGGTTCTGGTGATTCACGACTGCGGTAACGAGGAGGACTCTATTTGCAACAGCAGTCCCATCGCTAAGTTTGTGCCACAAGGCCCTTGCGGCGCTCTAATATTTACGGCCAGATCTCGCTAGGTTGGAATCCGGCAGGGGTGCTAAAGGATCAAGGTTGGAAAAATGGAGGAGGATGCCCAGTTGATGTATGTTTTGGAGACGCCTCGGTAGCTGGGACACTCTAGGATGTGGGGAGGAAGAGGCTATCGCCATGATCCTGAGATACTTGCATTACGTGCCCCTAGCAAGAATAGGTGCGGCGGCCTTCATGAGGGAAACCGGAACTCCGCGCCTACTGGACTATTTTCTGGGGGAGGGGCGAAAGGGCGAAGGGAATACTTTCCAAGCAATTATCTGAGATCCAACGCGAGGATGACATGCCGGAAGTATCCTGGCGGTGTTCTTTGCCGCCTTTAGCCAGATCGTATAGCCGACGCCGCAAGTAGTAGATCTTTTGTCCATAATTGCATTTTTCGATCGCGAGAATATACCGGAGGGGTTGCCGAGCCAATGTGGCTTGGAAGGGATGGATGATCCGATCCAGTTTCGTCAAGCCATTGGAGAACTACTAGCATTCTAGCGAGTTACGGCAGTCAAACGCGCCGACACGACACTTTGCTTTTGAACGTCTGATCAGCGAAGCCTATCGAAAACGAACGAGAGAACGAACCGTGAAACGAGTGGCGAACGAAAGGGGGTGCGGGGTAACAGCGCAGCTGTTGGAAGTCACACCGGAGAGGTCGAGGCTGGAGTGCAGAGTAATGGGGCTGATCAGAATAAAAGAAAGAGAGAGATGATTGTTGTGCTTTTTGTTCTACAGATACGCCTCAGACTGCCATACTTCGGGCAATTGGTACTATGAATATACATCAATATGGTCTAGTCATTTCCTAGTTCCGCATGTCCTAAGTGGCCCAACGGCCGGCCCAACATATCCATACCACTCATCATGTTGCGGTAACACTTCCGGTACCAACAAAACCAGATGAACGAGTGATGGGCTGTGAAACGAAATGCCAAGCCCGCTCACGTGCAAGGATAGCACAACTCACGGGGGGGAGAAAACTCTTCACTCGGCCAGCCGCGCTCTCTGTCGCGCATACACACACACTAACTAACAGTAAAGACAGGATTATATAACAACGAGACAAAAAAAACGGGTGACTCCGGACCCCCTGTCCTTCCGGGTATGTCTCCCGCATGCTTGGCAATCAAGAAAAGCCGGTGGAGGAAAGAAAAAATACAGCCACCCAGCTTCCCGCCCTCCTGATATCCTTTCCACTTTCTTTCGTGCCTTCCTTCCAACGGACATAGTTCTCCAGGACTCACGCACATTCCCGCGACCGAAGCGCTTCCTGAAAAGCCGAACTGCGGGGGTGGAAGCTAAAGCGCACCCGAAGCCCTAGCGGGCACGAAACCAAAGTGCGCTCCTAGAGACCCTGCAAGCCGAGCAAGCGGTCGTGAGAGCATGCGAAGCACCACCTCGCGATTCCAAATTTAGGAGCTGCTGCATTTGGTCTAACTATATTTACAGGTATATTTAGCGACAGAAGAGTCGGATGAATAGAGGCCTGGGGCAGTGGAAGTGGTTTGATGATAGTCCTCTCAATGTGAAAACTAGTGGCGAACTGTTGGTTATGTATATATCGTATTGGAATTCGTGAAGCTTCCATCTGTGGTCCGGCATAAAAGGTTTTAGTTATATTACATGAGATGCGGTAAAAGTGTCTTAAGGTTCTAAGGTTGTTTTGTGTTATCAAGGATCAAGATGTCGAAAGTGTTATGAAACATATGGTGAAGGACAGTTTCTCAGGAGGAGGTTTTGGAGGGTTCGAAGGTTTCGGAAATCACAGTAATCATTGTTGAGTTCGAGATTGGGACCTAGTTCGAGATTGGGGCCTTGTGCAAGGTTGAGACGATGGTGTGTCCCACGATAAAGGCCAAGCGATACCGGGTATGTGTGAAGGAAGTTTCTAGTGAGAGAGAAAAAAGGAATCATATCTAGTAGTAGGAGGATGAAGCGAATACATAGGACACCAGGGACGAGCATGAAAATCACAGGAACCATGAGACACTCGTACGATCGTAGCCAATATTTTTATTACACCCCTCACGCATTAGCCGTAATTAAAGATCTACAGGACTCGATTACCCAAGGGAGCAGTTTTCACATGGGACTATACCCTCTAGGAATGGGTTCCTACAATGATGCTGAAATTCAATTTTGCCAATGCGTCGTGCTTCGGGAAGGGGGTAGAGGATATGGTTGGGATGCGGAAGATCGAACTAGATCTATACTCCTGGGGGCTGTGATCGCGTATCAGGGAAAGGCTACAGTGGTAGAGCATATTTTTCAAAATCTACGGGGAGATATTGGGGAGTCATTGGGTCCAAAGGATATGGACGTCGTACGGTGAGAAAACTACTTGGCCAGTTGGAAATCGTGAGGTGCTGCTCTGTATACACTCACCATAGTTCGTTTCATCGCATGGTTTCTGGGAGTGCGCTATGGCTTCGGGAGCACTTTACCTTCAGCCTGCACAATTTGGCTTTTTTGGGAAAGCACTATGGCCGCGAGAATGCGCAGGGCCCTTGGAGAAATGAATGGACGAAGGACAGTGGGATTACTGTAAGGCAAGGTGCAAAGGGTGGTCGGAAGTTGTAAATATTTGATGCTTGGAGTATTAGGTGCTCGGAGACTATAGACAAGGAGGAGTTTGTCTTTCGTTTCTTAGTTTTCCATTGGTAGTATACAGGAGATGCACCTGGAGAGTTAGGACTTCGTTGTTTTGTGGTTAATAAATACTACTCTCTTTACACATAGCTAGATGAGCATGCGCAATAGTGAGAGGTAGACGAAGTAAAGAGTTTTCCCCTCCTCGTGAGGTGTACAATGGTTTTGTATCCGAGCTCAGCGTTTCATTTCGTGGTGTTCATTGCGTGCCCTTGATTGTGCCATTTCACCTGGCGTCATTTAGTTTCACAGCTCATCACTTGTTCGTTTCGTATCATTGCTCCGTTGCATCGATTCAACATTCATGGTGCTACGGCACCAAGGAAAGTATGATGCAAAGCATGCCAAACAGGGACCAAGACCGTTGCATCCAGTAATGTCTCTTATCTATCCGGGTCGAGGGTTACAAATTCTAAAAAAGATATTTTACAGGTTCTATGTTCAATTCATGCTAGGGTCTAATGGCCCCCTTTACCTACAGATGGCCGTCAAGGGGGTCTTGATGGTTGCTTGCGTCAAGGGCTGAATTCCCATTCCCTGGAAACCTAACTCACCGTCTACAGCGACGCACCGTCCATCGCACTATCCTGGTGCAACTAAACATTTTTATATAAGATGATAAGGGTGTTTTGAACTCCAAATTCCCAACTTCCACTCCTTTTCTGCCATTTCCAATCCGTTAAAATCTTGGTCCCAACTACTATCCTCTAAGAATGACCTACAACAACTCTTCAAGAGTCCTTCCATCTTCGCTAGTGGCCCTCTTTTAGTTGTTTTGCTGCAATAGACCAAATCTTTCAAGGTGCCACAAAAAAAAGACCTTGGAGGTAGTAGACAACCATATCAGTCTATTATATTTATTCTAGAACTACTGGTGCAAAGAAAGCAGGGGATTTGAAGTAGTGGTATGGCCATTGTGGGTGTAACGGGTCCGAGGGATAGGTTGCCGCTAGAGCCGGATGCAATTAAACCTGTCGATGGGGTATCAATGCTCGAGGTTGACGGCGTTGCTGCCGCATCTTCTGATGTAGATCTCGTTTTGGCAGTCAAGCCCCCAAAATGTTCAACGGTCAAAAATTAGGTAAATACCGTTTCTACCGTCTGTTGAAATACAGCCTTGGGTTGATGGTACCGTTAACCCACACCATACAAATTTCTGAACATAGAGGGTCAGGTAAAACTGGGCCTAAGTATCCGAGACACCTGGAGACTGTGCAGTTACTAGCAACAATGCTAGGTTAGCATACTGATGCTAGGTAGAATTTGAAGTAAAGGATCAACAAGGAGTTGGCTCCTTTCACTCTGTTAGTGCCAGTTTTCCCGCAGATGTCGATGAAGCGCACAGTGACAGCACCCAGTGTCCAGGAGATCTCGGTGGCTAGCTGCATCAGAGGCTGAGTTCTCACTCTGTGTTTACCTGAACCAACCTCAATAGCACCATCTAATACACTATCCTAGAGTGAATCAAAATTATACAAGACACATTGTGAGAACTTTGGAGTCCAAATTCCTAACTTACGTCCTGAGTCTGTTTCTGTCATTTCTTACCGGTTGAAGTCTTGAACGCAAAGATCATCGGATTTGAATCTCAAGTAGCTCCACGCTGGCGAAAGGTGCTTTATACTCCCCCTAGCAGCCCTTCTTCAGATGTTTTGACGCCATAGCCCACAATACCAAGCCGGTACAGAAAAAAACTAGCCCAAAAAAAGTTTCAAGATTTTTATTTTCCAGGCAGGTTGTCGACATTATGGTAGAGAAACCTAAACTCATTGCCAGATGTGATGTGATGATTGCTGGAGTTGTAGTCCCCAGGGCTAGGGACAATGGATTCAGGTTTGGGGTTGAATGTGGTGCTACCGCATCTCATGACCTATATTGAGTTATCACCATCTGGTATCCAAAACCATTGACCCTTGGAAGTTAGGGAAGTGTAATTGGTATGGCCTGCTGTAACCTTAGCTTCAACTAATCCGCCGGGCAGTCAAATCGCACGACACAAATTTCAGACCATGGATGGTTTGGTAAATGGGCCTTTACTCCTCCTGTTCTTGACTTTGAACAAGGAGAGTACCTCAGACACTTCCTGGTTTACTACACTTTCATTTGCTTATTAAAAACTTAGCTCATATGAGATTTAGCAATAAAATTGAGAGCTTGAGAGAGCTGAAAGAAAAGCTTGAGCGAGCATAAGCGCCTTCTCTATCAGATAAGTTGCTACCCGCCCCCTTCATCCAACAGGCCCTGCAAACAATCTA